ATTTTGTGACAAGTTTAGCATTGATTTACTAATATTTTGGTAAGAATCAAGCAATATGATTGGCTAATTTCATGAATGACTGGTTTGATTTAGTCACAGATTTTCATCCTATTGGAGAAAAAGCAGATTTCAGTCTTGACTGATTAGAATACTTTTTTGACTAATTAGAATATGTTTTTGACTAGTTTGATTACTTTGAATGACTCTATTTTGGTGATACTATCCTTGCACAAAATAAGGTATATTTGAAAGTGCACTAAATTCAAATTATAGAAGATTTTCAAACTGTGAATGTTTGGGAGATATTGAGTGCTTTAGACATCTTCTTGTGTCATTGTGAATTCTACTAGTACACAATCCAGAGGGTTCTGATCTAATGATATTTCATGTTATGAACATGATGAAAGATGAAAGATGAAAGATACTGTTGATGCTCCATACTCTTGTACCTTGTATAGGTACTATGTTTATATGGAGGCATCATGTAGGTAGGTATGAATGCATGTAGGTATGGATTGCATGAAGGTATGTATGTATGCATGGGGGTATGTAGTATGTATGCATGAAGGTATGTTGGTATGGTGGTTGTGCTCATTGCAAACCTGAACTCTGAATTGACTTGAACAGCTGTGATGCAGGAGTGATAATTTTATTCACCCCTGCAACCTATCTGCAACAACCAGTCATTCCAAGATTAAAAAGAACCTAATTGCTCCCAAGACTCAAATAAATAAGTCAAATTTGTGATTGGTCATTCCAAAATGGAAGAGAACAACCTAAATCCTCCAAAGACTCAAAAATTAGTATTCAGCAATAGAAGGAAGAGGAAGTACTGAGCAATCAAATTGGTATTGGTAGTAGAAACAATAGTACTAGCACCAGCATCTTGAATACTCCTCTAAATTTTGTTAACTCTGATATTAGTATGATGAGCAGGAAGCATTGGTGGACATTGGACTGGAACAAAGCTTCAGGGTCAGGGGGAAGCAATGTGGCTTCCATTGGGCAAGTTTATGGTGGAGCTGGAAAAATGACTCTCTTTTTATATATGATGCTTGGTGTTAGCACTGTTTTTGGAGAACAGCATGACTACTATGGAAAGTTTTATTGCTTTGCTCCAACAGCAGAGTAACAAATAAACACAGGAAATTTTCAAACAAGAAGGCTCCTAAAACCACATGGAACAGGAACCTAAACTGAGATCTAGATCTGGGATCCAATGCTGAGGAACGTGGTTCACAAAAAGATGATGCCAACTGATGTTAGTCTGATAGTAGTGTTTTGCCAGATTGAGACTTTCGTAGGTACAACCACATGCAACTATTTGCATTATAAATGCGTGCTCTTTGTAACAACAGTCCACTATAGTCAAACTTGTTGGGGATCTGGTAGCTTATTGTGTGAGGAAACATGCTGTTTCCAAACGTCCCTGGAATCTTGGAAAATATCAGGCACTGCTATGCAAAGTTAAAATTTTTAAATGGTAGGAACAGGGAAAATACATTGCTWAAAAAAAMCCTTAATATTATATTTTACCTCGTGAACTAGAAGAGGCACTTGGGTGGCCAGAACCATAACTTTTCTTGGAAAGTATGCTTCTAGCTGCTCCGAGGGGCGGCACTTCCCTCCAAGGATTTTTGATGGAAGTGCGACCAGGGTTTTGTTTTGGCTGAGGAATTAATTGAAATAGTTGTTCATAGTAGTTTGTATGGTACAGGTGGTTGTGGTAGAGACCAAAGAGAGCTTTGGTGACTCAGAGGGTCTGTGTGATATTGGGGAATTAAACAAGAATCTGTGAGAGCTTTCTTATATTGGCTGGTGACGGAGCGAGACTGGATCTGGAGAACAGCTGGGCAAGAAGGTAGTAGGACTGGTGTMATAAAATTTGGCAYGATCATCTGTGCTTGAAAATCTCCAGCATAACCATCAGCCTCGACATCCAATTGAGCTGTCAGAGGGAGGCAATCAAAGGCAGTGTTGTCAGGGAAAATACATTGCTAGATTGTTGCTGCCTGTGCTTTGGCACTTAAAAGTAGGGACTCCAGGGGAAGATTGGTAATAGTTACAGCAAGTACTAGTACCCAATCCAAGATCTCAAGGCAATTGTGAAAAATAAATACACAATTCAAGATCTCAAGGCAATTGTGAAAAATAAAGAGCAGTTCATATGTTTCTATCAGGGTACTGGAAAAGCAAAAATAATTCATTCAACTCAAACAAGTGGGAGGAGACTCTTCCTGTCATAAAGGGACATTCCTACTATCAAGGCAGCAGATAGCAATACTGAAAGACTTCTAACCTACAAACTTGAGGACTCTGCTTTTCCACTTACAAGAAACCTCAGTACTAGTAGTAGTAACATTACTTACCACATGTAAAGCTTGTTGGAATCTAGATTACAATAGATCTAGTAATGTTGTACAGCCACCCAGGATGATTCATGGGAAGCAAAATTAGATGTGCATGCTCATTGTTGACATTATATCACTCCATTTGATAGCATCAAACAGTTGGATACATTGAACTAATACAAGTATCTGAACTTAGTATAGTATGACAAGCTGTCATGTAATTTCTATTGCAATCTACCCATTGTCTTTGCAGGTGACTTCAACCAACTCAAACCAGTGGGAGGAGACTCCTCCTTCTTGTCAAAAAAGATTTCTATCTTTCGAGAGAGGAGAAAAAGAACAACAAAAATCTTGAACTTAAACAAAACTCAAGTTAAAATATGATGTGATTTGAAGGCATCTTCTTAATGGTTTAAAAACAAATGGCTTGAGAAAAGAGGACATTCATACTATCAATTCAAGATTTGTATAATCTTGGGACAAGCCCCTAGAAGATATTGCTGCTTTTGCAAAATAAAGCAATGTAGACAAGAAGTGTGCAGCAACAAACAATGGAACACTCAAAAAATATAAATGACAGATTGTCAGATCACACTATCATTGCAATGAAGGCCTCAAACGCAAACTAAAGATTGACAAAACAACAAGAAAATATAGAGACATGCAAGCAGATTTTCAAAAGTCCTGTAGTACTGCTTACTTACTGTCACATCAGATACTGACATTTTTGCAGGTGGAACCAAATCTACCAAAAGAATAGTAGTAGATCAAATGCTTACTAAAATTTATGTTGGTAGTAGATCTGTCATAATTGATGATGACATAATTGTTGGCAAAAAATCAAATGCAAATAGCGGAGCCATCATGTGTACATTCAAGTCTATCAAGAAACTGAAAAGTGGGTACCACCAGGATTGTGGAATTATAAAGAGCATTGATGGATTTTTTGTTGGGTATGACTAGTAGTTGCTGAGAAAGTTGAATTGATAATTTTTGTGACACATGAAGAACAAGAAGAAGAATACCTCCTCTTGTCCTCATTCAAAACAACACCAAAAACAACAATAGTAGGTACTAGTACCACCAGGATATTCAACATACACAACAAATCAACAATGAATATCAGAAACAACAAACAGTCACAGTGCTTCCATTGATTAGCTTCTAAATTCTTTTCAGAGCAATACTTTCCACCTTACTGACACTAACTTAGTTTTTGCACTGTACTTTCTTAGTAGTACAGTACTGTAACTATGAGTTTAATCGGACAAGTAAAATGCGTTAACTGTATGAACCCTACCACGTCCTACAGGGCAAAATGGCATTCTACTCAAACACCAAAAATGATTACTAGTAGCATCGTGGTTAATTTTGGTTTTAATTTCAAAGCCCAGTATTTTAGTACTGATCCTACATAGATCTACTACTAGTTTTTGGTCGTCACTTTTTTGACCACAAGAAACAGCTCAATAACAAGCTAGTAAAATAAGGTAAACACAACAGCTCAGGAAAGGCCTCTAATGAGATCCCCATTGGGGATATGCTTGGTCATAGTGTTAAGAAGAGTGCTGCTGTGTGTCATTGTTACAAGATTAGAGCCCAGCAGGGGGGAGCTGGTTCTCTATTAACACCAGCTGGCATGGCCAAGAAATTTGGCCACCAGTTCTGAGACTGGCTGGTGCTGGTTAGAAATTAGGCCTGAACTCTATCAAAAAACAACTCTAGACCACCAGTCTAAGCACCAAGTCCAAGTTGATATAATTACTTAAAGATCCATGTCATTGGGAATTTTAAGGATGCTAAAAAAAAAATGGCGGCTTAGAACTGGTCTGCCAAAGTTACATTAGTGGTTCTTGGCGCAAATTGGGAGTTAATTTTAGCTGTAATTTTACTCAGGTTAAACTCGTACACTAATTTGCGTTAGCGAGCCAATCATACGATAGATAGCATGGAAATTGATCGTATTGAAACTGGTCGTAGGTACCGTACGTAAAACTAAGCCCCCCAGTCGTACTGTATCGAGTTATCTCAAGAACCGGTACGTACGGCTCTGTTCTCGTAAGTCGTACTATATTTGTTTTATCGTGAGGAAGAAAAGTGTACGAAGAAGAACCAAACCGAAGTAATTTCGAGAGGAACAAATACAACAACGAAGAGACTGACCTTCGGCATTATATTGACAAGATGGATGACTATCCTGCGGCAGACGAAATCCCCGATCCAATCGGAGAAGAAAGCTTTGACCGGCGTTATACCACGCTGATGGAATTCCTTTCGACGTCGTCCGAAATGAGGAAAACGGCATCGTCGAGTTTCAAGCAGTCCTTGTGGGCGGGATCGGGCGCAATGGCGGGGGGGATGGTCGCCGGGCCGGTTGGAGGATTGCTCGGAGGAATCACTGGAAGTCTGATTGGTTTCTTGAAATCGTCGGATTACGATGGCGTTGTTGTGCACCTGTGTAAATTGGATCCCGCTTCGAAAAAAGAACTCCTCATCCAGGTGGGACACTTGCTCGTCGCAGCCGGAGCAGCGACGCAAGGACTCAATACGGAAAGCGCCCTACGGGATGCGCTGGTATCATATGCGTGCCAATCTGGCGTACGGGACCAAATATGGAATGCGTGTTTGGAGTCCCTACAAATGTAGCTCACCTGCTGTTGTTGGCAGTTTGCCAGCTATCGAAGAGCATCTTTGAAGCTCTAGAACAAGAACTATCGGTGTTCTTCCTAGCACTCTAAACACGTCTGGGGAGATTAATGTGGTAGGTTCTAGTTTTGATGAAAGGCTTAGTGATTTAGAGTCAATTTTCCAGCGTGAAATTTCAAGCATCCGAGGTTTCAATCGATTTCTGATGTTTGTTACAGGTGGAAAGAAAACAAAGCGGATAAAAATACCCGCTGATGTTTGCAATGTGCCGACCAAACCCTTTCTCAACGGTGCTGTCCCTTCGTGGTGTTAAACTGACCGCCTATCGTCGATTTGTGAAGTAAGGGAAAGTACAATTCAATTTTTTAAACAACGTTAATTATTCAGATATCATTTGCCAATGAAAAGATGTGTCCGAGCTCAACGATCTATATCTTCAATAACCAGACCATGATATTTGTTATTGGTATGCTCTTGAATCATGGCAGGTTCTCTCGTCGATTGACAGAAGTACACTTGTCCTCCCGTTTTTTCAGATCCGTCATGTTAAATTTATGCTTTCTTGGTAGCAGTCAACATGCCATACTCCATGAGTCCTCTTTTGAAGGCTCTGTGCATGCGTTCGATGCAGTAGGCATCTCGAAGGGTCTTTATGTACTTTTTAGGCTTGAAAATGAAACCACGAGGGTCCTTAGCACCCTTGAAAATTGTATGCCTCCAACTGGCGATAGTTTCCCTGACCCAGTTGGCTGCCGTTACCTTGTTCATGACACCAGTGTTGTCGATCAATTGCGTGTATTCCTCTTTCGAGATAAAGTAGGGGTGGGTCCTGGAATAATTTGAGCGGTGTGAAACAACATCAAAATCAACATTGTTTGTTGGAAATTCGTCGAAGAAACGCGGAGAGTCGGCGGTGAGTATAGGAAAGGAAACAGTGAATTTGGAACAAAAGTATCAATCACGGCAAACTGGAACTGATCACCTACCATTCTTCGTACAAGTACTGCAAATCGCGCTTGTCACGCTTGTCAAAGGGAACCTCTCGGTCGTCACGCTGACACCAGGTGGCCATGACGAATTTACCACCGGGCTTCAAGACTCGCATCATTTGTTCGATGTATTTTTTCTTGTCAGGCATGTGTTCTCCGCTTTCACACGCCCACACAATGTCAAAGGAGTTGTCGGGGAAGCTAGGCATCTCCAAAGCGTCCTCGACCATGAAGTTGACGTTGTGGGTATCCTGCTCGATGGCAAGTTCTTGCGCCCGTTCCACCTGTTTCGGACTCAGGGTGATGGCCGTCACTTCAGCCTCGGGCCCTAGTGCTCGAGCCAAATACCGAGAGGTTCCACCAAACCCGCAACCAACGTCTAGGACCTTTGCCGCTTTGTCTTTCTGGGGATCGATCCCACCGAACTTCATCATTTCGTCGATGAATGTGTACTGAGCCTCGTTCAGTGGTCTGTATTTGTACTTCACATCTGGACCATAGTAACCCAGATGGATGTGTTCTCCCCAGTAATACTCCAGAATTCCTTCTTCGGTCCATTCATCGTATTCATTAGCAACGGTTCCCGATCCATACGTTCTCGAGGGTTTGTCGAGGAACAATTTGACAAATCCTGTTCCTGCCAAGGCGGTGGACAGGGCAACTGCAGCAACCTTGATCGCGATCTTGGGAACAATTGTCTGGGGAGAAGCAACCATTGACAGCTGCGTACTGCTGTCTTGGGCAACGACAGTAGTTGTGGATGACTTGCGTTTGCTGTTCGTGGCCGAGAAAGCCCCCACACTCGGTCCGGGAGTTGTAAACCCCTCGGCATGGAAGGATGCCGCCAGCAAGAGACACAGTGAGTAACCGAATTTCATTTCAATAATTTCTTTCAACAATTCACCTCAAAATATTTCACGTTGACGTGAAGATGTGATTCTCAGAATGSCAAGGATCGAKATTTGACTGTGAGCTGACTCCATCGGTCAAAATGCTTCGGTAATCGTAACGCAACGGTAGWGAGTTCTCGTACCTGACTTGTACCGTTTAAAGTTCCCGTCGTCACAACCAAAAAGCGTCAGTGAGAAAAATACCTGTATGAGTTCGTACCGGTACATCCGAATTTGCACTCGTATGAATTGACGTACGGTAGTATGGTATGGGTATCATTTTGATCACTAAAAAATCAGAAGCAAAACAACAAACCGATCTAGAGTCAGTGTGAGTCACGAACATTGGATGAGTTGGTGGAGGAATGGGGAGGAGTCTACGGTACGGTACTTGGTACTCGTAACGGTAGAGATGCGAAAGATCGCGGATCGTTTGTTTCTCAAAAGAATTCTTTTGTTGATCCCCCAAATTGTGCAAAAGGGGGTGAAGGAAAAACTTGCTTGTCGAAGGTCGAAGGACCATTACCAGGTACGGTACGTACGAGTCCAAAGTACAGTACGGCACGTATGGCGTATGGTATCTTCCTGTTCTATGGTGATTTTTGACACCTGTTTTTTATGAGTAGAAGTAGGAAGTATTGTACTTCTATTAACATGGAATGTGTTATCAACTACGAGTGACACTTACAACTTCAGGTTTGATCCACCATCATCTCACAACCGACATCGAATGTACCGTAGAAATAAGATTTGTACCTAGTGTCTTCGCTAAGTGCCGTGCCAAATTCCTAGGTACTGGAGCATTCACACACTCGAAGGGAATGATTCGCAAACGACTGCCCCGTATAATTTTGCAAGCATTGCTACACTGGCCGGCATTGCTAGGAACGATTCGATGGTATAGTCTTGGAAAGATCGGTGTATCAATGACCCATTTCGCCCTCTCTCTCTCTACGTCACCCTCGGCARCTACGATGACTGCCGGACTAAAATCTATTCGGTCAAGTTGTCGTTGCGGGAGTCTTGTGATCGATGTATTTGGGAATCCAAGCGCCAAAGGAGGGGGCGATAATGGTAACTGTACATCACGGAATCGCGCAATAAACTGCCACTGTCGGGGCTGCCGACGGTATCATACGGGTGCGTATGCAAGCTTTCTCGAGACAGATTGGAGCAATATTTTCGTTCGTCAAGGCAGAGACAAGATTGGAAAATTTTCCTCGGATTGCAACGAGTTTGGTCCGGTCGAGCGTTGGTTTTGCAAAAACTGCTCTAGCAAATTATTGCTGGTTCCGCAGCATCTTTTTTCGTCTGAGGAGACTGCTCATGGTGATGGCGGGGACAAGGTCGATGACGATGACGATAAGGAAGAGAAAAAATATGCAGAACGAAAAATAGCACCAGACACAAAGTGCCTACTCAATTTAGGCCCGGTGATAGACGATACAATACACCCAGACACTGCAAATTGTTGGAAGGAACAACTGGATCGATCCGAAAATAATCTCCACTTCGACAAAACGAAATCTGTTTGGGCACGCGCTCTCCCCGAAAATGAAGACCGTGACTATATCTATGATGACGATCATTGCCAAACGTTACCAACCCCGTTGGAGTGGTTCGGTGGATGTGCTTGCGGAGCATGTCGTTATGAATTTATTCTCACGCATCCGACCGAGATGCAACATTGCTATTGTCGGCTGTGCCGAGAACTATCAGGGAGTCCGTTCATGACTTGGATTCCGGTAGAGAAGCGAAATTTTCGATGGATTGTCTGTACGAAAGGAGTAGAAACAGAAACATTGACATCGTCTTCTGCGTTACAACTCGTCCGAACGACGCCTTTCGGTAGCCGCCACGTTTGTAATATGTGCCAAAGTGTGATGACTATTGTCTACGATGAACAACCCGATACTATATGGCCTTGTGCAGGTAGCTTAGATGACTCGGCTTTGCCAAAGAGCACCGAAGAAATGGGGGAAACACTCAGTAGGGTTTGTCACATCTGCTGTCGCTACAAACCTACCTGGTTGAGAATCAGAAGAGATGGAATGGAGCGGATTGAAGAGGCGTGTTGATAGTAACRAAATTGTTATTTAACAACATTTTAAAACTACTTCAAAGCAGAGGCTTCAGCTTCGTTTTGCGCAAAACAGAGTTGACCTTTTGTCTAAACGTAGCCGATCGTCGCTAAAGAGTGGTTGGTTGTATCTTTAYTCTTTCATATTGTTCACAATCTCTCTACAATATTTGCCCGCAACACATAATCCAAATTCATCGTAATTTCGGATTGCATTTTCAAAATACACTATACCATCTGTTGGATTTCTCATGTCGTTAGATAAATGCAAACCTTTGAAAAAATTGGCAAGACCAACCTCGACAAGCCGTTCGTGRGCATCAGCGAATTCAATTGCCTCGGTGTATTTTTGTTTCGCCAGAGTGTAATTGTGTGAAAGTGCTGCAAACTCTGCTTCTAAAAGGGCGAGTTGACCACCGAACCTTGTTGGATTTTTCGATGTAAAAACTTTCATAACATTCACTGTTCTCTTTCCACGACGGATCAATTTATTCCGGATCGTTTGGTTCGTTTGCTGTCGCGCTGCTCCAAAAGTTAAAAGTCCTTGCACGTAAAGGAGAAACCCATTTAGAATGGATTGATCCGTTTTCATGGTGATACTATTCAATACGGTCTTGCTGAAAGCGGTCGCGTCCAAACCAAGTTGGAATTGTCCAGCCATTAGCAAAAAGAAACTCTTCAAGTTGCACATAGTTGTAAGAGCAAAAGCACTTCGAGTGTCCAACGCATGTTTCAATCCATCTTCAATTGGAGTGAGACAATTCAACAGATCTTCGTCTGGATTTGAGCCAATTTCCAGTAATGATATGAGGTTGTAAAGTAGTCTTAACTGATTTCACAATTAAGAAAAGAGAGTTCAGTTAAGTGCGGAAATGCAAGAGTGAAGAAAGCACCTCAAGCACATCTTCTAGCGTAACTTACGTGATGAGCATGACCATTTCTTTCAGTCAGATCGATCAATTTCTTCATACTTCCTATGATATCTACCACTTTAATGCCGTCGGTCATAACCATCATTAAACCAAATTGCAAATGTGCATTAAGCATTGCGCAGTCAATATCCCCAGATAATAGACCCACACGATGGCCTTCTCGCAGGATTTCGAAAGAATACTGAAATGGCGCGATAGAAGGTCTGATGATGCCATAGACCATTGCGATGCAACGAGAGTTGAACAAAATAGTAGAATATCGATTCGTGATATCTAGGGCAAGGTCCCCGTACCTTTGTCCATGATCCACTTTCCCCAATAAACAGAGCAAGGCACCGTACCCTGCAAATGCCACTGAAGACATGGCACTCAATCCTTGCGTTAGGGTTATTTTCATCATTTTGAAGACAACATAKGGAAATAGGTCTGGGCAATACTCGAAGCTATAAACAAATAGCAAGTTCAGTATTTTCATCGCCCTTGATTGCTTTTCATCTTCCATGCGGGGCAATCGCAAAAGCATTTCATTCGTTTTTCGCTTCAGTCCTCGCTCGATTTTTGCGAGGGACAAGACRAACTTGGCTGCACTTYGGTGTCTTGGCAAATGAACATTTAAGTCAGCTAGGATCGAAATCCCCTTATCAATCGCCGCAATTTTCTGGCCTCGAACCCCCAATACATGAACCATTGTAGTGTATGCCCTCAGTTTATCTGAGAGRTTTCGACCGAATTTATCGATATCCGACAAGAGACTATCGACACGATCACCGTCATGAAGAATGAATTCGGTCTCAGCCAAATTGTTATACAGTGAAAGACTTAATTTATATGCGTCGATCCAATGACTAGGACCTAAAAGGCTGTGTGCGGCACTCAGATAATCGTGAGCTTCTCTAAATGAGAAACTCACGGTGGCTTTTTCTGCTGCTCTGACGAATAGAATGGCAACTTTGTATTTCGTTTCTTGGTCCTGAGCTTGAAGTAGGTTTACACCTAATTGCATTTGTCGCACGACACAAAATAAGTTGTCATCGAGTTCTTCGGCAGGTAGATACCGCATCAGGCGAAGCCCAATCTCAAGATGAAATCCTGGCTGTATATCTTCTCCAATAAGAGAATAGCATGCCTCTTGAACTGCATTAGAGCGTATCGTATACGTATTCATGTTTGCGTCGTGCTTTAAATTTCCCCTCTTGACTAGTTGTGTGATAGCATCGCTGACATATTCTTGAAGAGCTTCTTGAATCATATTTAGTGTGGAGCATGATCCCAAACAAGCCATGACCATCAGTACCTCCTTTTCTTTGGAAGGGTATGAATCAAGTTTCTTTTSCAACAAAGGATAAGGACAGTGGTTCAKAAGATTCCCTGCAATATGCGTGTTGATGCTCCAAGTGTTGATCGCGTTGTCGTAAAATAAGAAATTAGGTTCGACTYGGATACTTTCAACAATGGTGACAAGTGAGCGGGGGTTGCCAGCAGAAGTCTTGAACATGAAATTTGAAAGAGAGGTGATTTGTTCATGTGACCGCAGAAAACAGTCCTTGACCATGTCTTCCACATCATGAAAATCCAGATTTTCTAGCTCAATGTTGGTTATTCGGACTGAACTGTCCTCTATCCCTCTTAAAAACTTGGTAATGGGGGCGTCCGATGGTAGGATGTCAGATCGGCATATGCCCAAAAATACCATCGACTTGTTTCTATCATCTAATACCATCCCCTTCAGATACTCAAATACGTGTTCTTGGGCATAATGCAAATCGTCGATCACTATCACCACAGATTGTTTCGATCTAGCAATTGTTCGCATAAGCTTTGCCATTGCAAAGAAGCAACGTCCTCGCTTTTCCATGTTCTCATCTTGGATATCGGATTCGTGTTTGATATCAACATAGTCTTCCTCTTCGCTATCGTATTGGATACTCTTTATCGTATCGTTTCCGAGCAATCGTTTCAAGGAAGGTACGATGCCTTGCAACCTCTCTAGCTCAGTTTCATCAATAGTAGTTCGTATCCGACATTGTGTCTCGTAAATTTCGATCGGGTCGCCTTGATTGAAAAGTTGCTGAACGTAGTCTGCAAAAGCGTCAGCAAGCGGTGCAATAGGGCCTCGTTGGTTGAACTGATCGACTGTTCCAGTACAGAAATAACCACCTTCATGTTGTATCTTTTGGCGCAATAACTCAACTAGACTTGTCTTGCCCGTACCGGCACTACCCGACACCAAAATGAAGTCTTGTTCATTATTCATTTCATTGCCTACATCGGTTGCTGTTCGTTTTCGGACAATACGATCATAGGCGTCAAATAATGAGGCTTTCTGGATTTCCCTTCCGTAAAGTTTTTCTACAGGAAAAACGCCAGATGACAGTGAGATTGATATAGAAGAGGCGTCGTCTGCATCAGCATTTGTTTCGACTAAAAAGGAACGAGCTGCATCGTCTTGGGAGATWGTAGAAAATTGTTCAGCGATGCATGGCTGACTATGACATCTACTCTTGTGGATATCAAGATCAGTCATAGCAACAGATAAGAAAGTGGWAGTCATGACCATAGATTATTCTGTGATTTTTCAGTCTTATATTGATGATAAATACACACTTGGCATTGCAAGAGATTGTTGCGTGACACAGATGTCGTACGCCCACGCAACTTCTATCAATCGTTTCGAGCCCTCTTGATGWAGGCTTTCTTTGAGATAACAAACGTCGTCTGCTAAAAAAGCATTGAAAGGAAGCATTGGCTGGTGGAAGGTAGACGATGATGTTCTTGTTTGTGGTTCCGAAATTACGTACACTTCAACAGACAAGTTCAGTTATCTCAATAATAATTATATGCGTTGCCGTCCAACCTGATCTGTGCTAAAAAATTACGAAAGAATCTTAAAGAAGTCGGAAATTGGTCGCCGTTTAAAAAAATATTCTTCCTTAGACGCTGATGAATGAAAATAATACTACGAACCACCAATCCTTTCACACATTGTTTATTACGTCGACAACAGAATACTGTATTACTAAACGGTAGTAGTACGGTACCAGAGTACTGTATTAAGAGKACGAATTTAACCTGGTTCGTAATATCATTATTTAACAAAATTATACTTCTACTTCATACAGAAGTACAGTAATGTCCCAGTCTAGTGTCAACAACTTGTTCTTCGAAGTTCGTGGAAAATAATTTGATCGGCGTACGCACGTGCGGGACAAGTAACGGCACTGTGGTAACGTGATCGAATTGGCTTGTATTTTGTCTAGATAGCTTTCTTCATTCGTGGTCTCCAKCGCTAGAATCAAATCGAAGGTATTCTTTCAGAGGACGTACTGAGGTAACGCATTAAGTAAATTGTTTCATGTTCTTCTTTTATTATTGCACTACTCAGCTGCACAGCACTGAATCCTTCATAGTATCAAATAAATATTCGCTATTATTCTTGTACCGTACACCGTACATTCCCGATAACACAGATCTGTGTAAATTCTRGCACGCCGGGCTCGGATTATGACCCAAAATACATAAAAGTTGGTTGTCTTGGGCCCACGACAACCAACTTTTATGTAAYTTACATATTTTTTAATTGGAATCCTTGACTGAACAGATTCAGTCCCGTGAGTAGGCACGCCCTAAAGACAGGAGACACTTGGCGCCAAACTGACTGAAATCTCAAAAGAACAACAAAAAGCATATCTTTGTTGGTGCTTCCCCTCAACRAGAACAGAACACTCCTCTCAACAACGCAGCAGACAAAGACAAGGAATACCGAACAATGCATCACCAAAAGAGGAGTGTGCTTACCATGCTGGTGGTGATTGCTGGTGCATGGAGCCCCTTAGTAGTTAATTGCAACACAAGAATCCACCAGCAGATTCTTCTGTTGTGGAGGATGCAAGCGCTTGCTAAGAAGAGGGAAGAGAGCTGGCGCTGTCTTCTTGAGAGGGAAGACAATGATAGCTATCAAAATCCTGTATGTGATTAGCATACTGGTACCCTCCTCCTCTTTGCCAGCTCATAAAAAGAACAGAAGGATCATAGCTCCAGCCCCAACAACAGCTCCAGCAACAGCTGCAAGGTTGGTTGCTCAAGAAAGAGGAGGAAGATCCAAAGGTTCCATCAACTACACCCATAGAGAGACCATGGACATGCTGACACTCATGAAGAGGATCCTTCCTATTGGACCAGAACAATGGGCAGTTGTTGTTGATACCCATGAGGAAGAGAACTGGGGGAATGGAAGAGACAAGGAATCCATCATCAGGAAGTACTCCTCCCTCCACAGGAAAGGAATTCCTACTGGTGGGAATCCATACATGTCTCCAGCAATCAAGCTTCAATTGTTTCTGTTCCTCTGAGCTCTCCTCACCCTCCCTTCAAGAGAGCACACTCAAGAGCCTCCACCAGTCGCTCCAGAATCAGCAGCAACAACATGGATATCACATCCATGTTCCAGATGTCCATGAAGCACCAGAAAACGCTTGCTAAAGCATCAATGCAACAGCATAAAGCTTACCAGCAAGAAGCATTGATTCAACAGTATCAGCATACTTTGACAGAAATCAAAGATATGGTCTGTGTCCTTGTCAGCGCTTTTGTCCCTGCTGGTCATCAGAGGAAGAGGAAGAAGAGGAGACAGCAGCATGATGACAATTTGTCCTCAGGAGCTCCCTCCTCTTCCTCAGATGACAATTCTGTCTAATCCCATGGTTAAATACTAATTTCAATTATTAAAATAAACTACTGTTTGCTGACCTTTTGCTGCTGCTGCTTGCTTGATTTATGAGTACTGAATAACACTGCAGTATACTGCTTCTAAATCCAGTCTACAATATACATCGTGTAAAGCAAAATCAAAGCAATTGTGTGGGATTGCTTCCATGTGTAATGTGTTACCTCTATGTAAACCAAAGTGCCGTGCTGGCAATTGTGTGGGATTCTTTCCATGTGCAAGTTCCCTCTCAGTTACTGGTGGTCCCGGTTTTTTGTGGGAAGATACCCATGAAAACTGGGAGCACAAAATAACACAGCRTTATAGTGGGCAAGGAACTCAAATAACATGGTGTATCATGTAGGTCACTTTGCTCTTTTAGCTCACTCTTCACTCTCCATATCTAACTGGAGGAGTAACTGTAGCAATAATTAGTAATTCATTAGACATTAGATAACTGAAACAACCATGGCGCAATGGACAGCTTCTTACAATCAACAATCAACAATCCACTCACGACAACAAGAAGCCAGGGAATGAGCTATTGGTGTCCCCATTGGGCTGAAGTTGGTAAGCAAAGTAWCCTATCTGTCTCTTCCCATMGGATTCCCTCAGRTTCTCAAAGGATTCAAAGCCATTCATATCACTCATGAAGGTGTTGAGGATCTGATTAATGCCCACCTTGCTGCACTGATAATTATACAACAACAACAAGAGGTTAACAATTACCTTCCTATCACTAAGCTCCTCCAATTTAAGTTGTTCTTTCATTCTTGGGGATCATCCCTGAATCATTCGCATACCCTATTCAGATAACTGGCGGACTGCTGTGGCTTCCCTGTTAACAAGTAGTAGTACAATAGCGTGATTGTTCTGTGCCATTGTGGGGAATTTATCTGGATCATTTTGCTGGCTTCTAATGAGATGTTTGGCCCCTCTGACATTAAATGCAGAATCAACAACAACTGACCCCCCATTCCTTTTATATWTGGCCTCCAACTTCTTGTATATGCCATAATCTGCCATGGTGCTGTCATGGAAAGTCCCAGGACAGTTATATGTTGTCATCCGGATTTTTCTGTTGGGGGCAAAGACAAGGCACCAACTATTAATGTAAATATCCATGCCCCACCCAGTATAGTACATGGCCTGAATATTCCAATTGGTAGAGTGCTCGAGCTTAATTTTGAGGCCATCTGCTGCGTCCCAGACCCTCCTTGTACCAAGTGTTGGGTACTTCCTTGCTATTACCTCAACATACGGCTCCACTTCTTCTTCTTCATCCCTTGGGGGTCTAATAATTGAATTTGGGTGTTTTTGCAACACAAAAAGAAGGMATTGTCTAGAAAATCTCAACCATCTGTACAGAGGAGTGGAGGYA